AGAAAGGGGTGAACAAATCTCTCTCACCTCTGCCCTCCATGCTGGGAGCTCCCAGCGTTACCAATTCTGTGTGTCCTAGAAACGTTCCACACAGTCTTGCTCCTGGGTGGCTCAGTCGGTTGAACGTCCGACTTCGGCTCAGGTCATGATCTCATGGTTCTTGAGTTCGAGCCCCACATCAGGCTCTGTACTGACAGCTCAGAGCCTGCAGCCTGCTTCGGATTCTGTGTCTCCCTTCTCTCTCGGCCCCTTCTCCGCTCATTCTCTGTCTCTGTCTCTGTCTCTCTCTCAAGAATGAAAATTAAAAAAAAAAAAAATGTCCCATGCATTTTTTTTAAATGTGTATTTATTTTAGAGACAGAGTGTGAGCAGGGGAGGGGCAGAAAGAGAGGGAGACACAGAATCCGAAGCAGGCTCCAGGCTCTGAGCTGTCGGCACAGAGTCCGACGAGGGGCTCGAACCCACGAACTGCGAGATCGTGACCTGAGCCGAAGTCGGCCCCTTAACCGACTGAGCCACCCAGGAGCCCCTCCATGCATTCTTCATTGAACTTTGCTTCTTTTCCCGTATCAAGATATCTTTCAGATGGTTCCATATCAGTGTATGTAGAGCTGCCCTGATCTTTTCGAGAGGTGTGGTATTGTATGGATATCACAGCTAATGGTTCATTTAGCCCGGCCACAATTGATAGACATTTAGATCATTTCCGATATGTGTGCTATTACAAATGATGCATCCGTGAACACTCACATTAAAAAGTCATTTCTCATCTGTGTGAGTGTATCTGTCAGATAGACCCTAGAGAGCGGAATGGTTGCACCAAAGAAGATGTACGTTTTTATTTTGCTGTGTATTGCGAGCCCTGTCTCCACCTGGGCTGCACCAGTTCACCCTCCCATCAACCGTGCATGGATAATTACACCTGTTTTCCCCAGACCTGGCCAGCAAAACGTGAAATCAAACTTTGCGTTGGCCCATGTGCTAGGTGAGAAATTGCGTCTCCTGGGAAATCTGATTTGCGTCTGGAGGAAGGAATAGTTTAGAAGCAAAGAGACACCCAGTCACGAGCGCCGGCTGCTTTCGTGCCTCCCTCAGGCCAGACAGCGCCTCTCTGTGAATTAGAAAGGGGCCCTCCTCCTCCGGACACCTGAGTGCCCTCTGCCGGAAGACTGTGGTGATAACCGTACAAATCTGAGATGACTCTGCGGCGGAGACACCCCCTGGCACTGGGGACAACACAGCCTGCTCTACCCCAGGCATGACGGGAGCTGCTGGCGGTTTTGAGAGCACCGTGGTCTCCGGGTAGTAACCAGATTGCCTGCAATTAATGTAGTGGAAACAGCGGATACAGGACAGGAATTCCAGCTGACAGCGGAGCAGAGGGCATTGGCTTGAGGGACAGCCAGAATAAATGGAAACTTCATTATCCATGGATTATGCACTTAGAACTCAGGTCCCAGGCAACTCTGATATTAGTAATTTGGCCAGCGGGCTCATTAAGCTCTTGAGAAAAGTGAATCTAGTTAATGAATTAATACAAGATGACATTTTACACACCGAGCAGAAACGAGACCGGGCACCACTGAGTTATGTAACATCGTAATTTCTCGAGTGAACGTGATTGCTGCTTCTCGCCTGCCAAAGTGGGCAGATCTGGAGAGAGCCTGCTTTCGGAGACACAGATGAGCCTGCTAAGATCTGCAGTCGATTCCCATTCATTTTAAAGCGCTCCCTCTTGTGTTCTTAAAACTTCAAGTGGTTACATGCAAGGTAGTGTTTTAAAATCTCTGGACCCGTTTGCTTTCCTGAGGAAAATCCACCTGCTTTCGTGTTTTAGGAGACATATCGCCCTAAAAAGGAGCTCATTCAATTCTTACCCTCTCTTCCATTCTTACTGGCCCCCCCCCCCACACCACCCCCCTGCCAGAGCGAGGCTTCTCCAGCCTCTGCCTCTGGTCCAGAGAAGTTGGTGAGGAGAATGGAAAGAATGTGAACACTCGGAGTTAGCATTATCCAGTTGGGGATGATGACAAGTTCTGGGGGTGGATGGTGGTGAGAGTTGCACAGCTATGTGAATGTACTTGGTGCCAGTGAACGATGCCCTTGAAAAGGGTGAGAATGGCAAATTTTATAAGTTACATGCATATTTTACACAATAAAAAAGCAAGCAGAACTGGCATTAACCGAGGGCAAACACTTGCCAGGCACTTCACCTATTATTGTATTTTACCTTCCCAGTAATCCAAGGATTCGGCTAGTCTTTTTCCCACCACTGCCACTGCCGCCATTTTAAACATGGAGGCAGCTGGGGCTCATGAAAGTGCAGTCAGTTGCTTCAGCAGCAGCCAGAAGTGATGTCCCCAGAGGGGCACCTGGGTGGCCCAGTCGGTTAAGCGTCCGACTTCGGCTCAGGTCATCATCTCGCGGTTCGTGAGTTCGAGCCCCACGTCGGGCTCTGTGCTGACGGCTCAGAGCCTGGAGCCTGCTTCGGATTCTGTGTCTCCCTCTCTGTCTCTGCCCCTCCCCTGCTCAGGTTCTGTCTCTCTGTCACTCTCAAAAGTAAATAAACATTAGGAAAAAAAATGTTAGAAGTGATGGCCCCAGGATTCAGCCCCTCAGCTCTGTGCTTGACATCACAGAATGAAGAAGATATTTTCTTTCAAGCCTGAATTCTGAAACATACACACATAGAAGCCCCCACCCGGCTTTTAGTTATCTAAACTGAGAGCAGACAGTACTCCAGCAGCACCCCAGATGGTCACAGCTAATAGACTCGAGAAAAATCCCAAACTGCCTCCTTCCCTCAACTGTCTGCAGCACACTTCTGTGTGTTGTCTAACATCTTACTTGCATCTTTCTGTATAGTTAATCATTGAAACAGCGACCTACAGGAACATCGTAGCTTTTCGTTCATGTTTGAATGTGGCCAGAAAGAAATGAACATCAAGCCTGGAGCTTGAGGGGGAAAATCTTCATGTGTCTCAGATTAGGATTGTTTGGGGGACTCGAGACGTTTCTATCAGGAAAGGAGAGAAGGTAGTGTGTTCCCCAGCACATGGTTGTTTTTGTTTTTTGTTTTTTGTTTTTTTAATGTTCGTTTTTGAGAGAGAGAGGGAGACACAGAATCCGAAGCAGGCTCCAGGCTCCGAGCCGTCAGCACAGAGCCCGACGCGGGGCTCGAACCCACAAACTGCAAGGTCATGACCTGAGCCGAAGTCGGACGCTTAACCGACTGAGCCCTCCCACCCAGCGTGTGGTTTTTTGATGGAGAAGTATCTGGGTTCTAGGCCTGGACTCTTCTACTTGCATCGTGTGTGAACTTAGACAAGTTAAATCACCTCTGAGCCACTCTGCCGTCTGGAAAAAAGGAATCATAAAATACTGACAGCACCTGCCTTACCAGGGTGTGTGAATACGTGGTTTTTTTTCCGCTGAGCTGAAGGCATTTATTGAGTGCCTGCTCCGTGCCCGGCACCATCCCGCACACTGGGGATGCTGTGATGAACAGGACGGGCGTACATCTGGTGACGAGGGATTGGGAACGCTTGGCCCAGCTCCAGGACACAGGGCCCGGGCCACTGGGGTTGCTGCTCCTGCTGCTACTTTACGTCTACGTTTTGGCGCCTGTGGACCCACCAAAACCTCACTGCTTCAGAGGTTGGACGCGCACAGGGGGTGGTCACCAGATTTGCTCACTTGGGCTGTATTTAGACTATTCTTCCAGCTGGGCCACAACAGTGGTAGTCGTGGTTCTTCTGCAGAGATGAGGAGTCCCCAGCTTGAGACACCACTCTGGTTTCCTAGGGTCAGCCCGGACCTTGTCTTGTTGCCACATGTGTTCTGCTGACCGGAAAGCCCCTCACCTGAGTGTGTGAAGCATGGCTTGTTATACACTTGGAAAGGCGGGGTGGGCCACCTGCCAGGGGTAGGACATGTACCAGACCGTTGCTTGCAGACTCCGAGGAAGTGCTTGCAGATTGCCTAGCGAGTCTGGTTAGGGGGCCGCAGGACGGAGCTTTAGGGGCAGGGCTCTGATGTCAGATCACTGGGCTCAGATCACACACCGCTGTTTTTTCCTAACCCTGTGACCCTCATTAGGGGACCCAACCCCTCTGAGCTTCCCTTTCCTCATCTGAAAAAGAAGGCGGTTACAGCATCTAATTCATGGACTTGCTGTGAGGCAAGTAGATGGAATAAAGCATGTGTCTGTATGTCTCGAACACGCACCCCCGTAGCACAATGTGTCAGCTGTTCTGAGTGCTCGATCATTATTCACACATTCCATGCTCCCGATTGCCCAGGGGATTGGTCACTCTTACTATCCCCATTTTACAGACGAGGAAATTACAGCACAGAGAGGTTGGCCACTTTCCAAGGGGCACATAGACAGTGAGTTCATTCATTTGTTGAATGAACGAACGAATGAGTTCCAAAGGGCACAGAGGCTGGGACTTGAACCTAGTCTGGCTCCAGGGTGCATGATGTCGGCCTGTGCCGTGCTGGCTCTCTATCTTGAAAGCTCCAGATAGGGCCTGGTATAAAATAAGCACTCTGCAGACAGAGGGAGCCCCAGCCAAACCGACCCCTGTTCCTCGTAGACGTGATACTTCGAATTCCCAGGGGATTTCCAGCCCCGGGCAACCATTCATCTGTTTTCTGTCTCTATAAATTTGCCATTCCTGGACATTTCCTATAAATGGAATGATACGGCATGTGTGCGTCTGGCTTCTTTCATCTGGCATAATGGTTTCGAGGTTCACCCGTGGTGTCACATGCATCAGTCCTTTTTATGGCCAAACAGTATCCCGTCGTGTGGGCATCCCGCATTTTGTTTATCCATTCACCAGTCACTGAACACGATGGGGCGGTTTCCACGTTCCGGCTGTTGCGAATCGTGTTGCTCTGAACGTTTGCGTGCGCTTCCTGGGACTGACTCCGAAGCAGAAGGTGAGCCAGGTTGGTAACCTCCCTCCTCTTTTCTCCCCTCTGGGGTTTCGCAGAACCAGGCAGTGGGCAGGTGTTTGTGACCTCAGAGAACCAGCTCGTGTACTACCCCAGCATCACCTACGCCATCATCGGCAGCTCTGTCATCTTCGTGCTGGTGGTGGCCCTGCTGGCCCTGGTCCTGCACCACCAGCGGAAGAGGAACAACCTCATGACGCTTCCGGTGCACCGGCTGCAGCATCCCGTGCTGCTCTCCCGCCTGGTGGTCCTGGACCACCCCCACCACTGCAACGTCACCTACAACGTCAACAACGGCATCCAGTACGTGGCCAGCCAGGCCGAGCAGAACGCGTCGGAAGTGGGCTCCCCGCCCTCCTACTCAGAGGCCCTGCTGGACCAAAGGTGCGTGCTGGGTGGCAGAGCCTGGGGGAGGGAGGTCAGCGTGGGGAACGCGGGACAGGCGCACACACCTGGGTTCCGGGTGCCTGCCACGAGCCCGCGCTCAGCAGCAGACGCGACAGCAGTGTCTGGCCTTTACCGGGTCCTGGCAAGACAGTATCATCTCATTTACTCCTCTCTGCAAGCCACTGGGGGAGATTCATTATTTGCCTTAGTTTTACAGACGAGCACATGGAGGCTCTGGGATGTTAAGTTACTTGTCCGAGGACATAGACCTAGGATCCTGGCCAACTCAGCCACACCGATACATGTTCAGACCATGGGGCCTCACCCCCTACTCCAGAACAGCGCCAGTGGCCATATTAGAGGTGGTTCATACTGTTGAACCAATGAACGAACGGATGAATGAATGAATGAATGAATGAATGAATGAGTTCCTTGCTTGCCTTCATTTATAAAATGAAAGGAGTAGAATAGAGCACTCTCAAGCTTTTTAAAACAACAGGACCCTCATTTCAAATGGAGTTGGACTAGAAAGCCAACAGAGAAAGTCAAAAAGCAGAATTCTGTATGGAAGCAGGTGGTAGGCCTCCCCACCCTCCCCTCCCTTCTTGGGTGACCTCCAGGGTGTCCCCAAGAACCCATTTGGGAAGTTCACTTTGGCTCTCAGAGTCAAAGAAAGAAGAGTGCTCTCTTCCTCTGAGCCCAGGACTTACCCGGTGCGGCGAGAGGCCTTTTGAAGCTCTTGTGCCCGGCCTGACTGGGCTCCTCTCCCCGCTCCAGTGGCAGCTCTCGTATATTTTAAACTTTGTTTCTCCTTCTCATAAAAGATAACCGTCACTTGAGCGGGCTGTGCTTAAGGACGTCGTTGCAAATAAGCGTCCGAGCCCAGGACCTCACTCACCACTCATAACCTCTTTATTTGGACCCTCCAATGCAGAGTAAAGTTTAAATTGCAGAATCTGGAGTCGGAACACCTGGGTTTCAATCCCAGAACTGCTGCTTACTAGTTATTTGTGGTCCTCTGCAAGTCACTTAATGCCCCCTTGCCTCAGTTTCCTCCCCAGTACAATGGCCTGCCCTTAATGCGCTTGTGAGCACTAAATAAGGTAATGAAGGTAAGGCAGGGGGGCATGGTGTCTGACTCCCAGTGAGCACTGCAAAATAGACTCTTCCCTTAAGTTATCGCCCTGCAAGCTAGGTGTCATTATTACCCCTTCTGCAGAGCACCGAGCCATTGAGAAGATACCCTCTCACCCAAGTCCACATTGCCAGTTCTCGACTTTCAGTAAGAACCCCAAATTCTGTGGACCGTCAGAGGTTCAGTCCTGGACCGCAGGGCCCCTCACTGGTGGAGCCAAGTGTCCCCGCCAGGCCGCCCAGGACAAGGCAAGGGGACACTTGGCATCCTCGACCCGGGGCCACCCAGAGGATATGGCTTGGACACCTGCCCATGCAGCACGAGCCAGCCAGAGCACACTGACCTTTGTCCGTTCCCTTGGTCTTGTTGCAGACCAAGGGTCCTCCCAGAACCCAGAGAGCCGCCCCACCTGGGGGACACATCAGCATCCCACAGACCAGGGCGGAAGGTGGGGCGACCGCCTTGCCTTGGCTCCTGACACGTCGTCCTCCCTCCCCTGTCCCCTGCCTCTCCCGCCCCATCCTGCCTTCTTCTTTGCAGACCCGCGTGGTACGACCTTCCTCCGCCACCCTACTCCTCCGACACTGAGTCTCTGAACCAAGCGGACCTGCCCCCTTACCGCTCCCGCTCCGGGAGTGCTGACAGCGCCAGCTCCCAGGCGGCCAGCAGCCTCCTGAGCGCGGCAGACAGTGGCCACGGCCCGGGGCAGCCCGGCCCCCCGGAGAGCGCCGCGGGGCCCAGGGACTCCGCGCCCAGCCAGGGCACCGCAGAAGTATAAATCTGGCGCTTCCAAAGTCCATGTGGGTTAATCTGCTCTGACTTGGTTACCATCCTAACAACTCAGCTCATGGGGAGCTCCTCAGGGTGCCTCGAGGAGGGATTTCGGGTGTCAGCGGTCTCTCCGTCCCCTTCCTACCCTCTCCCCCCGCTTCCTACCCTCTCCCCCCACCCCACCCCAGATTTCAGGGATGTTCTTTAGAAGGAGACCTGGTGTTTTTCTGGCCTCTCGGGCGACACGATGTGTTGTGCCATCTTTTCTGGGAGGTCACTCGTCCTGCGGGGCCCAGGAGCGTGAGCTCACTTGCCACGTCATTGTGTCATTGTTGGAATGTTGCGGACAAGGCAACGTAAGTTAGCAGGCGGCCGGATAAAGCGGCATTTGAGGAGTCCTGGGGAACGCAGCGCTCCTGTGCCGTGTTGGATGTCCAGAAGGGTGGGAGACACCAGCCCGAGTTCCCCGTGGCTGCTACCATATGGCTCCGTGGGAGGTTTGGGTCGGATGATCCTCCAGGAGGCCGTCGTGGATGGCTGCCCTGGGAAGAATCCAGGTGAGCACCAAAGCCTGCCTCACACTCTCCTGCGCGCCGCCCTAGGTTCGGCCGAGGCCGTGGCCAGAGGAGACAGCCATGAGTTACACCCTTCCGCAATCACCAGTGGCCTTTTGGTTCTCCGAGTGACTCTGAACCATTTACTTGATAGATTCAGGCTTTAAAACCTTCCCCAAGAATCCTCGTGTTGAGGGTTTTTCTCTGCAATGTGTCATCAGCCTCATCCCGGAACGGGCAGGGGGCCTCTGCCGTGAGTTCGTCCGAGTTCCCAGCTCTTCAAATGCAAGCTGCCGAGAGCCTGGGCCTGCTGAGGGCCACAGCCCTTCTCTGGCTTCTGGACCATCCCCTTCCTGGCTGTGACCTTCCCGGAGCCAAGGGCTGAGGACCCCAACTTGAATTGGCCAAAAATCTGATCTGGTCCTCCGTCCCTGTAAACCACGCCCATCTGTGCCCATCCATGCAACTTTCAACACTAGCTTCCGACGTCACCTTAACACCCAGAAGTCCTCTTACCTGTGCGTTTGGACTTGAGGACACTGTGGTTGATGACACACGTGAGAATGTTCAGGACCTCCCACCAGAGCTCCTGGGTCCCTGTGTTGCACACACTCCCCTTCCCAAGGCCCAGATACCAGCGTCCTGACTTAGGATTAGGGCTAGGGTTAGAGTCAGGGTCAGGCTTCTTCTGACTTGCCATAGTTTCTCCTCTAAAAGACGTGGACGGTAGATAATTTGGAGTCAAGATTTGCCATTCGGACTTTTTTTGTTGTTTTTTAATCTCTTAGAAATGCATTTGAAACAGTGTGTTTGTTTTTTCCCTTCTAGTTAAGGGATTATTTATATGTGTATAGGAAAGCTGTCTCTTTGTTTTCTTTTGTTTTTCCTTTAGTGAGGTCCAAAGAAAGATACAAAAAGGAGATCACACCTTTGTCCCGCTGAGCCCTGACACCGGGTCACTGCAGACTGACCTGTGTGCCTGGCGTTCGTGCATTGTTGCACTTTGAGTTGTTATTTATCAAGTTCTTGAAGGTTGCAAAAGGAGGGATGTCTTTCTCCCTCAGTTCAGAGTCTCTGTGTTTCTGCTAGTGTTTCTCTTTCTCTGTGCCCAGCTAGCTGCAGGGCCCGCTCCCTGGAGATACAGTGGGTAGAAATGTAGGCGTTATTTGGCAAGAAACCACCCTGATGGGGCACAAAACTGGAACCAGGCGGAACCACTCCAGGCAGCGCTCACCCATTCAGGACTTCTTCCCACAGCGGAAGAAATTTTCGGTAACCTCTTTGATGCTAATTTAAATGGAGCCTGCAGGAGTGGGGGACGAAGTAGCATTTAGTGATCCTGTTCTGTGGACTTTTTTGGGTTTTTTTTTTTTTTTAACCATATCCAAAATATGTTACAGGAAAGCTAGCGACTTGGTGATTTCTTTCTTTCTAAGTTAAAGAAAAGGAGGCTAGTCGTTTCTGTCTTTCATTTTTTAAATAACACTTGAGTTATTTTCCATGTACTCTGATACAGAAAGAACTTAATGATGGTATCCAGAGTGTGGTAGGAACTCTGGCTGAACATTTCATCTCCTGTGAGTCAGAATGGCTTTATTTCTTCTCCCTTTGATGGGCCCATGCTCCTTCCTGGTATTTTGGAAGTTGTTTAGAAGAAAGGATTCTAATTTTAATTAATTGTGCAGTGAATTAATCTCACTCGCTTTTCTGCTTCCAGGCATCTTAGGAAAAACAAATGGTCTTAGTAGATAAGAAAACCTATTAATGTTGTTGTTTTTTTAAATAAACACAGGGACATTTTTATTATAGATTTGATTTTTTTTAATGAATCTTTTTAAAAATATATAAATAGGGCACCAAAGCTACAGGGGTTTTTCCTGTTTTTCCCCCTACTCAAAATGGCAAATAAGTGGCCAGCAATATTTTTTAACTCATTTCCATCCAGAATATTTTTTTATACATTGCCTAAATCTACACCAACCAGGAAACCGTCTCTGTGCTTTTTTCTCAGATGAGAGCAGCGAATTCTTTTTATTTTAGCATTAAAATTAGCGGCACTGTAATTGATAGCTTACCCCCTGATTCAGCCCCTACTCTGAAACTGACATCTTTTTCAAACATGCAACAAAGTGGTTGATAAATAGTGTGTGATGTTCAGAGTTGATGCAAACTGGAAAGTTTGTGTGTGGTTGCTTTTTGTGTTTTGGTTAAGTTTTGGTTTGGGTTTTTGTTTTTGTTTCTTAATTTTTATACTTTTAAATAAACTTGCAGTTTCATTCTTTCTGTTGGTGTGAATGGTTCTTAATCCACGTTTCTCCTCCATGGCAATATAACAAGTGTATGGTCACTTCTTTTGGCTTCCGCAGTGAATTTATGCCATAATGAAATGAGAAAAAAGGAAGAGTATAGTGATGGGACCTCAAAATGTGATGTGGTTTATGGATTCCATAGCCCGTGTGGCTAAGGTGCAGAAGTGAAGTCATGGACACCAGTTAGTATCATCGGCCCATCAGGAGATGGGCATTAATTGCCATTACTGTGGTGCTGTTTGAGGGAAAAGGTCAAGTGACTGGGACAGCTGTTACAGAGTCTGACCGCATATTCAAGGGCACACCACAGTTCTTGCACAGGTAGGCTGGTTGTTAGTTTTGAACCCCAAATGGCTCAGACTGGCCCTACTAGTGATGGTAACATCTTCGTGCTCTTTTAAAAAATTTTTTTCTTAACATTTATTTATCTTTGAGAGAGAGAGAGAGAGAGAGGGAGACAGAGTGCAAGTGGAGGAGGGACAGAGAGAGAGGGAGACACAGGACCCAAACCAGGCTTCAGGCTCTGAGCTGTCAGCACAGAGCCCAACGCAGGGCTCAAACCCACAAGCTGCTGAAGTCAAGATGCTTATCTGACTGAGCCACCCAGGCGCCCCATCTTTGTGCTTATCTAAGTCTCATTGTGGAACCCTGCGTTGATTGATTCTGCAGGGACAGTTTCCATGAGAAGTCAGGATGTCCAGGAGATCACCACCACCCAGGAACAGGAGTAACCCTGGCCTTGGCCATGATTGAAATCCACATGGATTTCTAAACACAGAATGTACAGAACCAAGCTTCAGATCACATATTGGCCCCCCCAGGTGTCTCAAAAAGAAGACTAGGCTATCAGTGATATCCCAAATATACGCCAGGCCATATCCTGCCCCACGTGATCTAGAATAGACCTTCCCAAGCAGTATGCTCCAAAGATTTGTCAAGTTATTAACTCCTTCATCTCTCAGAGTACCATTGCTTATGGGTGCCAGGATGAAGAAATGATCGAGAAGCACTAAAATCTAGAGCAAAGATCAGGAAACTTGTGTGTGGAGGGCCAGATCACTAAATATTTCTGGCTCTGCATCCATATGGTCTTTGTAGGAATGACAAGAGCAGCCATAGACAACAAATAAGCAAATGGACATGGCTGTGTTCTAGGAAAACGATTTATGAAAATAGGTGGCTGGCTGGCTTTGGTCCATGGGCTGGAGTTTCCCAACCCCTGATATAAAAGAACATTCCCACACTGAGCTCATGGGTCCAAAGCACTGTAGAAAAGAAACAGTATGTTCGTGGCCTGGAATGTTAGAATCCCCCAAATGGAACCAATCTTTAAAAAACTTAAAAAGAGGAGAACTTATGAAGCAGACAATTCAAGGACCTGTGAAATTAATGTTAATTGGCCCTGTAGGCTCTTTTCCAGTGAATAAGAAAATACGGGATTAAGGTGAGTACAGGCTTTCCCAATGAGGTCGGGGTGAATGCAGGGGTCCTGGTCAAAAAACGACTCTCGCTAGGGATTCTCTAACATGATCAGCTGACACAACTGTCTGTCTTTTAGAGAAAAGTCCATGAGAACAAGAAGTATTGTCCATATTCGCTACTTAGCTTGCCGCCCTGAGGCAGGGCAGTAGATTCAAAGGGAAAACTACAAAATAGAAGGGGCTTCAGATGACTTCAGTGGAGGTGTGGTAAGTGCATCCCGTGAGACCTTAGGAAGAACGTCAATGAGAAAATATGCTGAGTTGGGTAAGATCATGGGTTCACCTCCAGTAACCCCCAAGTGATAGAAATCCAATTCAGAGCAAGCTTAATTTTGTTACGTTTTAGAAGATACATTAGTTAATGTAACTAAGTCCAAGGGTGTGGAACTGTTGGTTTCAGGCAGGGCTGGATCTGGTAACTCAACAGCTGTAATTAAGAATCAGTTTCTCCCTCTCAACTTCTGAACCCTGCCTTGCCCAGAATTGGCAGGCATCATGGCTTTACGTGAAAATTAGGGTCCCAGATGATCCAAGTTCGAAATCTCAGAAGAGATACTGTTTCTCCTAGAGTCTATAGAAATTCCCTTAAGTGGAGTTATGATTGGTCATCTTTGGTTGGTTGTATGGCCACTAACGTGGGTGGAAATCAGTCTCTTGATTTAT